CAAGAAAATTTTAAAAGACTTTGATAAAGTATTTGCATTAATTGGCATTACAATATGCTATTTTTACAATACAATTCAAAATTGTGCATTATTGGCTTGCAAATAGGCATGTCAAACAAAACAGAATAGTGCCCAGAATAAATATGAATACATATGTAAATGTAATGTGTGATATTTATACTAGAAATCAGTGAAGAAATCATGGATTTTTCAATAAAGGGGAATGGGATAATTCACTATGCATTCAGAAGAAAATTAATCTAACATTTATAAATAAAAATATGTAATTATAGTTAAATTATATATGATTTGCATATTATATTTAATATATTGATATATTAATATATTAATATCTTACCTAATTATATTATAATGTAAGTATATTATAATTGAATATTAATTATATATTACACTTAGCAAATAGCAATATTTATATTTATAATATTTACAAATATAAGATATAATAAATTTAATATCTATAATATTTAAAAACAATTCTCAAGATAAAGATCTATTTTTTTTAAACTAACAGTATGAGAAGCAAAAAAGCAAAACCGAAAACCTAGAGCCTTAATAGAATATAACTGACAGATTTGACTAGTTGAAACTCTAACCTTACATGCAGTGAAATTGTCCGTAAACAAAACTAAGGGAAACAGGACAGGCACAGAGAAATGTTTACAGTATATTTCACAAGGTGTTAACATGTATAATAGTAACAGAGACCTCAAAGATTAATTTTTAAAAACACAAACATACCAGAAGAAACATAGGCATATGATTGAACAGCCACAGCATGAAGAGAAATAATTCAAATAATAATGAACACATGGACTCAACCTCCCAAGAAGTCAAGAGACTGTGAACAAGAACAATAAGACACCATGTTTGCTTACCAGACTGGCAAAAATTAGATTGACAGAAGTTCAATGGTGGCAAGAATGTGAGAAAACATCCTTGGTAGGAGTGTATGTTAGTGGGGGCATGTATTGTTAAATACTTGGGGAATAATTACTTACCCTATGACTCAGTAATCTCACTTCTAGGACTTGTTTCCGTAACATTTTTGGAGAGCAACTTGGCAGTGATCTATCAAAAGTGTAGTTCCCATTCCCTTTGACCCAACAATGCCACTTCTAAATATTTATCCTAAGGTACATGCAAAGATAATCATGGCAGGAATTCTGACGATGAAATGCTGAATTTACCGAAGGTCTAACAATGGAAGAATAGTAGAATAAATTATAGTCCAGACAGCCATTAAAAAAAAAAATGAGTTACCTTGGGGCACCTGGGTGGCTCAGTCGGTTGAGCTTCTGACTCTTGATTTTGGCTCAACTCATGGTCCCAAGGTCAGGGGATTGAGCTCTGTGTTAGGCTTTGCACTGAGTATGGAGACTGCTTGGGATTCTCTCTCCTCCTCTGCCCCCTCCCCTGCTCATGTTCTCTGTCTCTCTAAAATAAAAAAATAATATAAAAAAAAAAGAATGAGTTAAATCTGTAGCTAGTAACCTAAAATAAATAATTGCACTAAGCTTAAAGACAAGTCACAGGAACTATTATATTTTTAGTTTTAAAAATATTTGCATGTGCATATAGAGACATGAATATATACATGTAGGAAAAGGATAGATATGCCCCAGTCTGTTAATGGTGGTCACCTCCAAAGATGAGATCAGATGAAAGAGGTCCTAGGAGGGTGTGTGATTTGGGAAGGTTGTATTTGACTTTACAAATACATAGAGTTTTTAAAAAATTGTAAGTGTTTATTTTTGAAAAAGAGAGAGAGAAAGTATGAGCAGGGGAGGGGCAGACAGAGAGGGAGACACAGAATCTGAAGCAGGCTCCAGGCTCTGAGCTGTCAGCACAGAGCCTGACTTAGGGTTCGAATTCCCAAATCCCGAGATCATGACCTGAGCCGAAGTGGAATGCTTAACTGACTGAGCCATCCAGGCGCCCTTAGATACAGATTTTTAAAAAAAAATTTTTTTAATGTTTATTTATTTTTGACAGAGAGAGACAGAGCTTGAGCGGGGGGGAGGGGCAGAGAGAGAGGGAGAATCTGCTTCAGAATCTGAAGCAGGCTCCAGGCTCCGAGCTGTCAGCACAGAGCTTGACACGGGGCTTGAACTCCCAAATCCCGAGATCATGACCTGAGCCGAAGTTGGATGCTCAACTGACTGAGCCACCCAGCACCCTGATACAGATTTTTTTTAACAGTGCTATGATGTGAGTGATTTTTTTACTCTTTTGGTATTTTTAGCATTTTTCTTTTTCTTTCCTCTTCTATCTTCTTCTTCTTCCTCTTCTTCTTCCTCCCCCTCCTCCCCCTCCTCCTCTTCTTCCTTTTTTCTTTTTTCCTTTTGAGAATGGACTATAGCCCTGGAAGAAGAAAGATGAAGAACCAAAGGCAAAACCGTTCCCATCCAGGAAGGAGGAGAAAGAAGAGAGGCATGGCAAAAAGCAACACAATGAAGTCAGGGACAGAAAGGGTCTGGGGGGAGGGCACGGGGCAAGAACCAAGGAACGACAGCTTCTAGTGGAGAAAGGGAGGGATGCAGAAGGGTGAAGGCAGGCCAGGGACCAGCAGATAAAGAGAAGCATGGTGGGAGCCTGGATGCAAACGGGGATTAGGCAGCCGTTTTTTACCCTGCCTGTGCATCTCTGGAAAAACAGAGAAATCAGGACCTAAACCTCTTGAAGTAGAAGCTCCTCAAGTGACACCAGACACAGTAGCTTTGAAACACTCATACAATTGCGGTGTGCAGCCAAGGTTGGGAACCACGACTGAAGGCATAGAAAGCATGAGTCAGGGAAGCTGAGGAGTGTAGTTTGTTCTTTCATAACGTCGGACAGATGCAGAAAGGAGTGACTTATAAATAAAAGTTATTAGAACTTGGTAAAGTACCAAAAGGGTTGCCAGCATCAAGGGAGACCTGAGGATATTATGGGCTATGATGAAGAAGCCTATGGAGCAGAAAAGATTAAATATTTGAGGAAGGTAGAAAAAAGGGGAAATGGAAAAAAAAAGAGTTTAATGATTCTAGACTTTGTTATTTGTCTGGCATTTTACATATGCTATCACCATTATTATTCCTTTTACTGGTGATTAATAACCACTATTATTATTATTTTTGAGGCATATATTACTGCATCCTATTTATGGGGAGGCAACCAAAGCTTAGGAAAGCCAAATCAATAGCAAGGACTCAAACCCACGCCAAAGGTATTCAGCAACGGAGCAAGGTCTTGGAGGCAGTGGGCAGGGATTGGCTCCAGGACTCAGCCGGAAGAGTGGCTTGAGGGAAAGGAGGAACACATCCACTGAGACAGAGATGAGACAGAGACAAGCTAGAAGGGAGCAGGCCAAAAGGGACCAGAGCACGTTAGCGTGGAGAGGAGGACGCAGTGGTGGTAAAACAATTGTGGTGCAGAAAGTAAAGAGATTGTGGCTCGCAGCTAGCTTCCTTCAACATCTGAGTAAAGCTGAGGCGAGGCAATTCACTGACGGTGAATGCCAGTGGTTAGGGACATTGTGTGTTGCACAACCGAGCAGAAAGCCAGTCTTGCCCTTCTCTCCCAGTGGGCTGTGCATTAGTCACTCAACAACCAATCTGTCACCTGCTGGAAGCCGTGAGCACGGGTGAGCTGAGCTGCCTGTCCCTGACTGGAAACCACAAGGAGGAAAAACAAGGTCCCTTACCTTCTGAGAACTTAACAGTCTGGAGTTACCCAGAGCGCTATTCTTTCACCAGCTATTAAAATGGTCTGACTAGAACAGCTCTAAGAAAACTAAGTGATCCTTTGCCTTGCAAAGGTTCTATAGAAATATTTTGTCATTGAAGATCCTGTCACCCAGTGGTTTTAGAAATAAATAGGAGTTGCCTACTTTTATGGCCACCATGAGCGAACGTAAATGTACCTGGACGATCACAGAAAGCATGTGAAGGCTGTGCCTGAAAAGTGCATCTCCCCCTAGACTCCCACCAAAGACCAGATGGAGTCTGTGGCCATGTTATTGGAACAGGAAGCACCAGGTGATTGTACCTATGCAGGTGCATCTGGACTTCCAGTCCAAAAGAATCACCAAAGCATCCTGGGGTCTTCAACATCTTCCTGAGACCTGGCAAGTGGCTGCTGAAGAATATCATTTGCCAGTTATTCCAGAGTGGCAGTAAAAGTGGCACCGAAGGGGGAAAGCCCAGTGTTCCAATTAACTTTTATTTTTGAAACTCAGTATAGCCTTTGTTTAAAATATCTCTCTGGTACCCGTCTAGGTTATGAAACAATCAGCTGCAGGATTAATCAATGGCACCAAACAGACATTAGCAACTCACTAATTGAGAGTTAACTATTTGATTCAGGCAGTTAATATTTATTTTGGCACTTTTTTGCAAGAGAAAAGGTGGCCATCGTGCATGGTTTTGTTATTAGCAAATAAAAAGACCCTGTTAGAAAAAAAATAAATCCTACATTTGTGGAAAACAACGAAAGAGTGGCCCCACCACCTTTTCTGCATTATACTCAGGTGGCGGAAAATAAACACAGCACCCTGGAAGTTTCGGCTTCGGGGTATCAAAAAAGAAAGCAAAACCCTGCCTTAAGATCACTGTTTATTTTCTTTTGTCCCTTTCACTCTGACCCCTCCTTCTTCTCACGGAAGGGGAGATTCAGCTCCCTGGAGCACCCCCCTCGAATATTGTCAAGCTACTGTTCCTCAGAAATAAAGAAATTTGACACGGAGACACTCCACATCTTGGCTGCCAGGAGAAATACCATCTTCGAGGTCATTCCATGTATTGAGACATTTGTTATTATTGTTTTGTCAGTGTATTTTCTGGTGCAGTCCCAGCGGAAGATGTGGGGCCCATATCACGCAAGACTAACGTGGGATCATCGGTTATTTCTTCTCCGCGTCTTTGCTGTATTCCGGAGCCCCAACCCACCTCCCTCACCTTGTAAAACTGGCAGGCTCCGGACATTTTGCATGCTGAAGAAAATCACTGTTTTGCCTCCAGCAAGGAACAAGAATGTTGCAACACTGACTCCTCCTCTCATGAAGAAAGAGTGAACAAGTGCACCGAGTTGAGCTTCTCACAGAGCCACCGGGCTGCGGACGGAGGCGCCCAGGTTGGGCTCCTGAGACTCCAGTCTTCTCGACTTCCCCCCACCCCCGCTCCCGCCTCCGCCCCCTTCCCGTCTCACTCCCTCCTCACCCTCTGTCTGGATTCTACCGGCTGTTCGTGAAACAGCTTTGCACCCATTGGATCTCCACGTCCTTTTGCAGGAAGTGCTCACGGACTGTTACGGCAGACTTTGCTCCCAGGCAAAAGTGAGTAGACTGCGGCAGACGCGGGGGCTGAGGGTTCGAGGCCGACGAGTTGGAAGGGTAGCGCGCGCGCGGCGCTCGGACTGCAGGTTCGAGCCCCGCGTGCGGCGCGGACTGCTGCCCGGAAAGCGCCAGAACCCAGCCGGAGGCGGCAGAGTTGCTGCCCAGCAGCGGCCGCAGGTGCGAAAGCCGGGGCTCTGAGCGTAGTCAGCATTGCTGGCCCCCTCGGAGAAGAACTAAAAGTGCACCCTCACCTTACAACTGCACACATTCGGCTTCTTTGTAAGGCATCTTCGGATGCGCCCTGGAGAGTGAGTTTCGGCGTGAGCGTGACTCCGGGATTCTCACAATGTAAATTATTTACGTCAAACTGAAAAGAAAAAATAGCGGGAAGGGGCTCGGGCAGGAGAGGTGATGCCCGCGGGCTGGCGGGGCCCCGGGGCGGCGGCGCAGCCTCCCGGGCAGCGGGCGGGGAAAGTTCGGCGCGGCGCGCGCCGGACCGAGAGGCGGGGCTCGCCGGCGAAGGCAGTGGGCGCCTAGGCAGGTGGGAGGCCTTCCAGCCGGGGAGGCGGCCGCGACCCGGGCCCGCGGGCGGGCGCGCTCAGGTAACTGGGGATCCGGGCGCGGTGCTGGGGAGCCGGCCAGCGGGGCGGGAGTGCCGGCTCTTGGAGCAAGAAAACATCCTCGTAGTGACCTCTACCTGCATCCTGGGGAAGCCGCCCAGGGTGCCCTAATGACTAGCCATTTAGGGTTTTATATGACTGGTCTTGAAAACGGTTGCAAATAGTATTCTTAATCTGGAGCGATTCGTTTGTTTTCATTCATCAAGTTCACTGGCAAAGATTGCCCCCAGTGTCATGCTCCGTGGTCAGTGGAGTGCGCCTCTGGCTGTGCAAACTTGGGCAAGGCACTAGTCCTCTCTGGGCCTCTGTTTTCTTTGCAACATTTAGGGAAATTAATCATTCCATATACATATCCCATTAAACGTTATATGTGTGTATACATGACATTTTATATATAATCATATAGAATATGCTAATATTCTATATCATATAGAATATAGAACATTAACATATTCTATATGATACATAATATATATTTTAATATATCGTAACATATACAATTATATATCCTATAATATTTTATATATATAAATGGGGTAAATGTATTGAATAGTGTAAGGAAGAAGCAGATGCAATTTTTAATTTTAGTGATTCTTAAAAATTGGGAATCATGGGTCCTTTGGAGAATTATCTATGAGTTCTCCCCAAGGGAAAAAAATGTTCTTATGTACTGTACATAAAGTTTTGCAAGCAATCCCTCAAGGTTTGTAACTCTCCTTGAAGACCCTGCCTGAACCCCAGGCAAACATTCCTTTCCTTCCTTTTGAGGACATTTTGTATCAAGACCACCCAGCTAAACCCCTGCTGGCAGCTGGGCTGGCTACGGAAGTAACAGCCTTCCTCTGGAGTCTGGAGTCAGCCTTGCTGCTGAAGGAGAAAGCGCTTCTGTCATAAGTAAGCTCCTGGGACACTGTGTCCCAAAGGCTTCACCAACCTCAGCTTCCTGGGGAGCCCTCCTCACAAACTCTTTTAATGACTTTCCTAAGGTGATGGTCCTCAGCCCTAGAGATTTCAGTCCTACAAACAGCACTTGAGAGCCACCTGTAAAAGGTCACCGTCTGTCTCAAAGATAGCTCTTCAGGTCACTAGCTGGATGCCAGAAAGTGGAGCCAAAGCTTTGTTTTGAAGGAAACAAAGTGCTGTTTTCTCTCCAGTGCGTGGTAGGAGTAGTGACAGTGTTCTTTTGGACCTGTGGACCTTCTTTTAAAGTACTGAGGACTCCTGTCTCGTGGGACCTGGGTCTTCCATTGGCAATGCCAGCAAGGTACAGCAGAGGACACGTGGAGCTTTGGAACCCCACAGACTGGGCTTCACATCTGGGCTCCCACACTCCGACAAGTTACTGAACTACTCTAAGCCTCACTTTTCCTGTTTGTGAAATGGGGAGCAATACTGCCTTCTTGCACGGTTGTTAGGAAAATGGAAACTGAAAAATGGCAATGCCTGGTTCATAGTCAGTAATAAGCTGCTGTTAGGAATATTAACGTGAGGTTATAAGTAAGTGTTAAATAGTTCCATGCTTTTTTAGAACAGCTTACTTTCTCTCCTACGGGGCTTATGTCAGCAAAAGAATGAGTAAAGTCACTTCTGGTCTAATTATTCTCAGGGATGAGTGGTGAGTCTAGAATACAGAGTTGGCTTTCCTGCTTCATCTTCGTCAAGCAGAGCACTCTGTGTTGCCCGCAAATAACATGCATCCGTGGGGCGCCTGGTTGGCGCAGTCGGTTAAGCGTCCGACTTCAGCCAGGTCACGATCTCGCGGTCCGGGAGTTCGAGCCCCGCGTCAGGCTCTGGGCTGATGGCTCAGAGCCTGGAGCCTGTTTCCGGTTCTGTGTCTCCCTCTCTCTCTGCCCCTCCCCCGTTCATGCTCTGTTTCTCTCTGTCCCAAAAATCAATAAACGTTGAAAAAAAAAATTAAAAAAAAAAAAACAAAACATGTGTCCAGACTGGCACGGATTCTCGACCCTTCCTCTCAGTTTTCTTTTGGCCCATAATCTTGAACGTGAAATGTCTAGCTCTCTGCTCTTAGTGACAAACACCTCAGCATGGAGACTCGAGCGGCTTCATGGTTGCAACCATCTCCAGATACGCGAGAAACTGTCTCTGTAAAGAGAAATGTCTCCACTGTCATCATTCACAGTGTGGCTCAGATAGCCAACTCAACTTATTCTGTCTGGTGTCTCTCCATATCTCTCTTTTCCTCTCTCTCTTAGTTACAGTTACCCCTCAGTTATAAGAAGCTGCATGACGTAGAAATGTGGGAAAGAATGCCAGAATTTTAAAGGGCAGTTGGATCCCCTCCAAGTAGCCCTTCCAAAGATCCATCAGTATATTGTGGCAAGGCAGTCTTGCATGCAAAGGTGACAGTATTGATATCTGCTGTCCCTTGAGCCATTAAGATGAACGAAGCGCTTTTCTACATCACCTCAGTTAATTCTCACAGCAACACTGCAAGGTATGCGTGATCATCTAAATCTTTACAAATACATCGAGGTTTATAAAAATTTACATTACTTGCCCGATCTGCAGAGCTGGTAAAAGGCAGAGCTGGGATCCAAGCCTGGGATCCCTGGACTTGGATCCCAGTTCTGCCTGACTTTGGCACTCACTCTTTTCATACTAGGTTAGTGCTGCCACGCTTCCTGACACCAGAAAGTTGCATCATGCCAACTGGGTCCCAACCCAGTTCTTTAGAACATTTAGGGCAGGAATAACCAAATCTTCTAGGTGATTGAAGTGGTGTGAACATATACTTTGCATGAGATACATATTAACAGGCAGCAACAATGAAATCGCCTGTGAAGAATAATTTTCCCAGCCCTTTCCAGATCCAGCTGTGACACTCCAGTTAGGCAATACTAAACCTCAGCAGGCGAGGCTGGCTCTGGGCCACCAACTTCCTGAGGGACTCTTTTAGCTTAAAAAGAGCCCTGGAATCTCCATTCTCTGCTACTTTAAAAAGGAACCTGGTCACCCTTTACGGTAACCTCCCTGTATTAAGCATTTATTCATTGAACAAATAACTTGCTGAGCTCTGAAAAAGACAGACAAGGTCCTGGCACTTGTGGAGCTTCTGTGCTAGAGAGAGTGGCAGATAAGAGGCAGGTGAGCAAATACATAAATAAGATAATTTCAGATGTTAAGAAATGCTATGAAGAAGGTAAGGAGAGGCAGGGGCTAACAGGGCTTGGAGGCAACTTGAAATAGGGCAGCCAAGGAGATTTCCACAAAAAGGTCATTCTTGAACTTGAACTTGTATAATAAGAGGGAGCCAGTCTGATGAAAGTCTGGGGAAAGGACTGCCTTAGCAGAAGAACCTCCAGGGAAAGATCTGGAAGTGGAATAAATGAAGCAGTAGAGGGGTGCCTGGGTGGTTGGGTCGATTAAGTGTCTGACTCTTGGGTTTGGCTCAGGTCATTATCTCTCGGTTTGTGGGAGCCCCGTGTTCAGCTCCGTGCTGACAGTGCAGAGCCTGCTTGAGTGTCTCTCTCTGTCCCTCCCTTGCTCGTGCTCTCTCTCTCTCTCTCTCAAAATAAATAAACATTAAAAAATTAAGCAGTAGAGCCTCAAATATGAGATGTCCCCTTAGAAATCAATATGGATTTTATATAGGGGAAATTACTGATTGACTGCTTATTACATTCTTCTAGGCTGTGCTGTGGACTTAATGCGTATGTTATTTAACCTTCCCAACAGTCTGGCAAGTTAGTTATTGTTGCCTTGCTTTGATAGTGGAAGAAACCAAGATCCATAGAAGGCAGGCAGCTGGCGCAAAGTTACAAAGGTGATATTTTAAATCCCACGGTCTGTTTTGCTAGCACAGCGTGTGGCTTTTGAGATCATCTCTTCCAGAAGATAGCAAGGAGCTAACAGAAGGAAAGTATCAAAAGTATATTGGGCGGCTAAACGAGGATAGTGATTTCTGTCTGATGCCCTAAATTCCAGTTGGTGTGTCTAAACTTGCACACCAGTGCAATCGTGTAATAACAGCAGCACTAGCCACATGTGACGATGAGGTACTGAAAATGTGATTAGTCCAAACTGAGATGGCTGTAAGTGTAAAACACACCCTAGATTTCTTTAAGTTTATTTTTATTTCTTTCGCGCGCGAGAGAGAAAGCGAGCAGGGGAGGGGCAGAGAGAGAGGGAGACAGAAGCCCAAGCAGGCTCTGTGCTATCAGTGCAGAGCCTGATGCAGGGCTTGAATTCACAAACCATGAGATCATGACCTGAACTGAAATCGAGAGTCAGGGTTTAACTGACTGAGCCATCTGGGAGCCCCTACACCCTAGATTTCAAAGACCTAATACAAAAAAAAAAAACCTTATTGATTTTTATATTGATTATATGTTAGAATGGTAAGATTTTGGATGCATTGGT